AGGAAAAGTAAAAAAAAAAATCTGTTGTTGCTATGTTTAAAAATGGGGAATATAGCAGCCGTGATGACGAATTTACTTTTTTGGTTGTTATGCACAAGATTGAAAACACCTTTTTTTATATCCAATTGGACAACCGCATGCCCAAAAGGATCTGAGGATCTAGGCAAGCATTGTAGAAACATTTCAAAAAATTTAAACACCCGATACTTATATCTTCCATCGCTTATTCGCTTACCCATTTGTCCTTTTTGGCACCAAGCTTTTTTTTTATTTTATTTTTCAGCCACCTTGAAACGCATATTTGGGTTGATTCAACGCCCTCATGGCTCCCTTGTTTACTTTTTTTAGTTTTGTTGCAATTATCCAAAAGAAATGCTCAAAAATATATGCAACAGAGGAGGCTTGTGCACCTTTATTTTCATTTTCTTTTTTATTGCTGACATTGGACCAGCTGACCCAGACAAGAAATAAAGATTTTTTTGTTTTTTAAATTCCGGTGTTCCCGAGCTTCAAATAAAAAAAAGGTTTTTTTTAGTGGTGCTCGTGTTTATTTATTGTTTTTCTTTCTTCTGTTATTCCAGCACCATACAATTTGATTTATTTGCAGTCTTGTAGCATTTCCACTTTATTGCAAGTAAATAAAAACATGCTGGGTAATTGACCCGGTTCCCAACCTCGCTCTGCTCTAATTCCTTTTTTTTCAACCAAAAGCAACGAAAAAAAACTCTTATTTCTTGAATAAATATGCTCTATCTTGCAGAGTTTCTTAATTAGACAAATATATGAATTTCTTGTCCATGCTAAACATATGACAAGACAAACTGAGCATGCGCATTTTACATAGCAATATAAGCAACAAGTGGCTTTAATATTAAAAAAAAGTTTTTGGAACCTAAAACAGATGTTTGGAAATAAAAAAAACCTCTTTTTCTGTTGTGGTTGTTTATCTCTTTTTGTTTGTTTATTTTTTTTTTTGTCTAGCTTGCATTTTGCTACGCATACTGCTTGGATCTTGCATTTTATATATATATTGCCGATGCTGCAGATAGGATATTATTTTGTTACTTGGATCCTGTATCGTGCTATTGCTTGTCATTTTATTTATTTATGAAAAAAAATTGAATTTTTCTCTGAATTATTTTTATTACTATTATTATTATTGTTTAACAATTATTTTCTAGGTGAGTTTATAGCTTTATCTCCCTCTCTTCCTTATACCATTTTATAAATCATTGTGTTTCGGGACGCAGTAACCAAAAAACGATGATTTATTTTCTTGCACAGACCGTTTTCTGTCTAAATTTTCTTTTTTTTCTCATATTGCTGCGTTTCCATGGTCCCGTGGTCTATATATATTTTTTTGCATTACTATCTAAAGACCACTAAAAAAACAGTTATTTTAAAGAAAAAATATCGAGTAGTAGAACTAGGCGATGAGAGATAAAAAAAAGTGTCATTTTCAATTTTAAGTGGGGGGGGGAGATGGGCTTCAAGGTCATATGTTAAAGTTTCCAAAAGCACATAAAGAAATGAGGGATCGTTTATTTATTAGTTTGTATTTATCATGTCTCGTTTCCAAAGCCTTTTTTTAGGTTTTTGTCTCCCTCCTTTTTTATATATTTTATTTTTGTTTTGTTTTGTTATTTGTAGAATTCAGCTAATTATCGTTATATCTAACCAGTTTAAAAAAAAACTCGCATTTTGTTTATTTCGATATTTCTTTTTTTCGTATATTGTACATTGGAACTGAGTCAAAAAAATTTATTCTTTTAAAAATAACATTATAAAAAATATTATGCTTTGTAATATGTAATGGCGTATTTTGTTTGTTTGTTTGTTTGTTGAATAAAGCAAAAAAGAAAAAGAATCTGTCTGTTTTTCTTGAATCAAGATATATCAATCATTGAAATTTTTTATAATTTTATATACCAAAAAAGCCCGACTCTGTATTCATTTTTCTCTTTTTTATTTTCAAGATACAATAATTTATTTTTCTACGTGTCGCGTTTATTTTATTAATAATCTTGTAATATCACCCTTTTTTTGTCTTCATACTATATTTTTGATACGTTCGACCTGTAAACTGGCAAGCATCGAGAAGCGTAGGTCTTTATTTTATCTCTCACATATTCAATCAATTTTGTTAGACTCGAGAATGCTGCCAAAAGAGAGAGCGATCAGCAGCAGCAGCCATGGCGGTTCGAGACACGGCGGATCGCGAAGAGACTCCATGCAGCAAGCAGCTCAAAACTGGCAGAATTGGGCAGATGGCATGGGCATGGGCATGGGCATGGGTAGCTCAGCCGCTATTATTGCCGCAAATGGGTATATTGCGTTTTCCGATTTGCTCGACACAAGCGGTGGCAACAAAAACAACAAAGACAAAAGAGGCAAACAAAAAGCCAGAAGCGCCTCCAACGGCAGCAGCCCGGGCATCGAGTCTGCCAGCAATTCGCGCACCCAGCCGCGCCACACCTCGTTGCGCTCTGCGCCGTTTCTCTCGCCCACACCCGCCAGGGCCTGTCCCGTTGCAGCTACGGTCTCGCCTGAGGTCTCGAATGTCACAGCTGCTGGTGCCTTTAGTCCTCCAGCCGACACACTGGTGCTGCTGGGCGGCTGCTCTGCTGCTGGCCAGTTACCCTTGGCAGCAAGTGAGTTTGCAACGCAGAGTGCGCCAAAAAGGCGGTTTTCGCGGCCTCTGTCGTATCTGTCGATGGCTGCGACAGGCACTGTTATTTCTGCGCAGCCCATCCCCAAGAGCAACAATCGGCCTGGCATGCAGCCGTGTATCCACCATTCGCTGCCCAGCACAGCTGCTCGCTGCACCCAGCTCTCGCCCTCGCTGGACCGCATGCAGATAAATTGCACCAAAAGACACAACGGCAACACAGATGGCAGCACTGCTGGAGGAGGCGTCGATTGTCATTTGTTTAAAACAGGCTTTATTTATTCAGCAACGGCTTCAAAGACAAGCGCAGAAGATATAGGGAAGCAGCCGGTTACAGCACACGCGCATGTCTTGGATGAGCCTGCGTGCTGCTGCTTGCCGGCAAATAACGTACGGCGCACAAAGGCCTGCAGCAGCAGGCATGCATATGCCAGTACCGCAGGTGCGCCGCAACAACATCAACATCAACATCAACAACCACAACCACAACCACAACAACAACAACAACAGCTGGCTTCGCGTTCTTTTTTGCTGAATACCGCGGTTGCTTCAAGAGTCGCTGATGCTTCAAGAGTCGCTGATGCAGCCTCGCAGGCCGGCAAATTATTCTTGTCATCTGACAACCAGATACGCCTGGCACAACAATCCAGCGATGCTGATGCCAGCGACAGAAGCTGCTCTTGCTGTGCGAGCTGTGTTAATCAGCCAGCCAGCAGCCCTCGCTCCAAAACATCTCCTTCCAACCCATCTCTATCTTCATCTTCTTCTTCGTCGTCGCATTATTTCTCGACCTCTACCGCAAACATCATGGCTTCTAGCAACGCTGCTGTGCCGCATCGGAGACAGCTGCATAACGCAGTGACCGTGCTGCCGCCAGACCACCCCATAATGGTAAAGCTGGCCAAGCGCAACAGCGTGTTCTATCGCCGTCCACGGCCCCCATCCAGCGAGCAGCCGCCAGCTATCGAGGAAGAAGAATCCACCGACTCGTGCTCGTTGCGGTCGCACAAAACACACACCACGACCGCTTCCTCCTGCGCCAGCTCGCAGGGATATGTTCCCAGCGACGAGGACTCCAGCCAAAACAGCGACTGTAATAAAAGCAGAAGAGACAGCATGGACAAAGAGACCAATGATCCCAGCTGGCGCGATAACAGAATTACTGAGGAGCAAGATAATGAGCTTTCACTGCGTCGGACGTTGTGCCAGGAACTGCCCTTTTGGTGCTGCCATTTCGCACCCGATACGCACGAGTTCCTGTATTCGCATCACCCGCACGACGCCGTGCGTCCTGCAACAGCCCCAGCTCCGCCAATGGTATTCTCTACAAGTCCCTCTGACTTCTACCCGCCGACGCCAGAGATAGTAGACTCGATGGTGGAGTACCTGGTACTTATGTTCCACATCAACACGTGCTCCGCCGTCATCCCCATGGAGCGTCGTCTCCCCGATCTTCGCGAGTTTATCTGGAGACTGCTTGACGGTACCATGATTGACCTGTGGACCGCCATAGCCTGCGTCATTCTGCTTCGCCGGTACTACCGGATCCAGAACCACTGCGTGGACGCGCCCTACGGAGCAGCACACTCGCTCTTCCTCGGCATATTCATTCTAGCCTCCACCCAGTGTGTCTATACCAACAAGCCAGAACTCATCTCGCTGCCCAGTATCGTCTCCATTCTTGATTCCCACTACCAGGTATCCGATCTCGTGCGTATTCGCAGAGAGGTCTTTGCCAACATCAACTATCATACCTGGATAAGCGAAGAAGACATTAGGTCGCATGCTAAAAACAATATCTTTGATATCTATCGTGTCAAATCAGCCTATGTTTTTTATAAAGAAAGACAGCAGCTACGTCTGATGATCAAGGAACAAGAGAGACGCCAGGAGCTTCGCAGACAAAACCTCGTCGCTCGTCTTGAACGCTTCATGCACCGCACGCCGCACGATTCCCTGGGTAGCTGGAACACCAAGACCATGTATTGCACGGAGTCTAGGTTCCTCTTTAGACACCTCCCGTGGCCCCGTGGTATGGTCATTCCTGTCCATGTTACTGCTAGATCAGAACAGGCTAAATTGTACAATTATCCTGATAAATTCCCTCCTGTTTTCAGTTCCCTCCTGCCTACCGCCAGAACAAGAATCCCCGGAACTACAACTTGAAGAAAAAAAAAAGATATGTTTTTATTTCTTATATTAAATAAAAGTAAATGCATTTTAATTCTTGTTCGTTTTCATAACATACCATTTCAGAGGTTTCGATTTTTATTTCCAGATGGTTCTGAATATATATATTATTTATAAGTACAATTTAATTTTTTGATTAAATCCGAGAATAGCTCAGCTGGTAGAGCGGGAGACTGTAGTTTGGTCTGCTATGGAGGCATCGATTGTTATCTCTAGGTCCCTGGTTCAAATCCGGGTTCTCGGACGTAATCCATTACTTCTTTTAACGGTTAGCTATCGCTTACATAATACTTTTTTTTAAGAAACCATCTACTGGTGTTAAGATCGCTTTCTAGTTTTTATGCAAAATAGGTGGTTTAAAACCAGATTTAATGATATAAAAAATTGTTTAAATAAAAAGTATAAAAAGAGATTCCGCAACGGGGAATTGAACCCCGGCCACGACGGTGAGAGCGTCGGATCCTAGCCACTAGACCATTGCGGATTTCGAATTGTCGGTCTCTAAGGCCGTTAACTGACTTTTATTTCAAAAAATTAACAACATTAGCGTTTCTAATTTTAGATTTTTATTTGTGTTGGTGGTTTTTTTTATAGATTCAATGGCTTTATTATTTTTATGTACAGGGATATAACTCTGCGCACCTACAGGCAGGCGCTATTGATATTGTTTTTAAATTCACATCAATGATTTGTTTCTTTAGGAAAGCTGGTTTAGAAATAACACTTGCAAAAAAGCTCCATTTTTTATTTTTGCTAAATAAAAACAAACATTATTATAAAATTAAAAAAATAGCGTCTAGTAATATAGTAAAATTTTAAATTTCTGTACATATATATATATATATATATTTAAAGCGTCGGGTTTCTCCTGCGCTTCTTGTTTGCATAATCTAAACTAACTCAACTGTCTACTCCTTTTTTGATACTATTGCATCATCTTTAGACGATTCAGCTCGATCAAAAATCTTGATCGTTTTTCTGTTCATAAACTGTTGCGCCGATTGATAATCCATATATCTCATAAATCCAGGTTCTGAAAAAAGGCGGATCCCAATATAGGCACCATTATGCATAAAAAAAATTTTGTGCATTGCTTGTAAAATAGGCACAATGCTAGATTTTGCATTAAAGAGCCCAAAATACTCAAGCCAACTATTTGCTCCCAAACAATATGCTTGTGTGCAGGCAAAAGTATTAGTGTCATAGAATCTAAATCCAGTGGGCTCTTGGCCATCCTGGGGTTTTATCGAATATACCTTTAAAATGACATAGAAAAGATTTTCTATGCCATTAGAAACGCTGCGCTGTGGCGAAAGGGAATGTACACTGATGATCATATAGGATACCGTACCTGTCAGCGCAATGTTGAAATTATACTTAATATCGTTTGAATCGAACTTCCAGTGCGCTGCAAATTCAGATGCATCGTTAATTCCGTAGTCGATAATCTTTGCATATCCCCAGTCAATGACAGTTGCTGTGCCACTTCTGACAGCAATGTTGCCCAACGAGATATCGCGATAAAGGATGCCTATTGACCGAGCAGAAACAAGGCACTCCATAACCTGTTCAACCAGTGCTCTGACGATAGGGCCATGGTCTGTGCCGATCAATAAACTCTTTAGATAATCGTCGATATTTTACCCTCAATTCTCAATGACCAAATATTCCAATCGATATCCATTGATATTTTCTAGCAAAAGGCCGTGATCAAAAACCTTTGGGATGCGTCTGGTATTGTGTTTGCGCAAAAGGTCATAAACGGCACACTCAGGCACTTGATTTATTGGTGACCATGCCATTTTGAGAACAGCTTTTCTACCTTTGAATAAGACGTTATAGAGTTAAGCCGTGTGACCGCAAATGCTGATAGGTAGCGCTATCAACAAAGTAATTTCAATGCTGCTGCTGTTCGAGATGCCCTTTGTGCTCGCTGTTTTAAGCACCGGACAATCAGCTGTGCTACTCATACCGCTAAGCAAAGCCGGCGCAAAAAAAAGCTTTTTGATATGCTTGGTAACACTGCAAAAATGACCGAAAAGCTCAAGCGGGAGATTGACAAGGAACATAAAACGCTGAAGGCATTTGCTTATGATCAAAATTGCATCGTCGTCAAAAATATGCTCAGTAAAACATATGCTTCCAAGCTCAACCTTGTACCAGCCATCGCGATAAAAAAGAACCAGAGTAAGGTAGGGACCATGTAGATAAAACACTGGTGCGAATGTACGAGTCGGCTGGGCTATCCATAGTGCGTTCGCGTAATCTGCAAGCTGTCTAAGAGTATCGTCGGGAATCTCTTGTAAAGTTGGATTGATTTTGGCTTCAAGGATCAAGCCGACAGTCGAAAATCCCATTGAAAAATTATTACAAAGGTAAAAAGCCAAGTCAGGCTTGTGAAGGCTGAGTGGTACTTTCACTTTTTGATAATCCTTTGTAATATACCGTGGAGATGCAGCAATGATTTCGTTTAGCAAAGGATTACTATCTGCCGTATCCTTGACAATATCTCGTAATTTACGAACCAGCTTTATCATAAACAATACGAGAGCTCCTTCACCGCTTTGAGCAGTGCTGTAATCAAATGTACTATCAAATGTGCTTTTCTCTGCATCTGGACGACCCTTGTTTGCAGCAAGCTTGCTACTTAAACACATGGGCAGCGCCTTCACGAAATCTAAAAATATATCATTGGTCAATAGAAAAAAATGCTCGTATTTATCTTCCAGCCCTGTCATCCTAAGCATCTCGAACATCACAATTCTATCGCGCCCTCTGAGCTGGTGCAAAAGTTGACTGCGGCGCATATTAAGATCCTTGTCGTTTGCATCATCAGGTATATTGCTGTGATTTTGTTTCTTAGTAGGCATGCAGTTAACCGAATTCTAAAAGCTCTACATAGATAGAAACGGTTTTAATAAAGACAACCTCAAATTAGTACATTTTATGTTATTTACTAAGGATATAATATTTTCAAACATGGAAATAATACCTGCGCTTTTGCTTTTATTTGTATTGGAGTTTGGATTTGGATTTGTGTTTGAAAAGACCAAATTCGACCTTTTTGGATCAGGTGCGTGAGGCTCGAAAACCATTTTGTAAAAGTCAATATATATATATATTTAAAAAAGCTGGTGGCTGGAATGAGTGCAAAATAATAGTTATAAATTAGTAGAGAATTAAAGAGAGGATTTAAAAAGTTGAAAATTATTTTTTGATGCTTCCATGAGGAATTGGCAAATTGACGGATTTTATAATGTAAACGATCATTGTGACTGGTCGAAAAAAAGTTATTTTGTTGATTGTATTTTTTTTATGGATCTGAACCAAGCGCACATATGATGATTTTAGTTATTTAATAAATATATTGACCAGGCGTAATTGAAATAAAGGTATGTTTCAAAAGGGATTATATAAAAAAAATTTGTTAAAATTTCTGAAGAAATAACTAAAAAAGAAACGATATTCAAAACAAAATGCTGCTTTTATACCTTAAGCACATATAGTCATGAATAAGGTTATAAACCTCTGATATCTAATAAACATTTGATATTAGTATTAAAAAACATGACGTTGAAATCAAGTCATTCTGTTTTTCGTCCTGCACAGCAGGTATGTTTTTACCATTAAGACTATAAAATAAGAAAATATTAGAAATTAACGTTTTTATTTTGTATTGTTTTCACAAGATAAAATGGATATATGTTAAAAAATAGCAACTAATAGAATAGTTTTTTTTCCAGTTTAGCTGCACTTGGGATATGCCTGCTTTGACGATGGTGTCTTGAACAG